ATTAATCAGAACTGGCTTTGACAAGCACTGTGGCAACTGGACAATTAAAACAGACTTTCAAGGGGGAAAAAAAAGGGGGAACCAACTGGGGAGGAGGGTAGAGAAAATAGTGCAACAATGAATGAATGGAAACCCCAAATCTCTGTAAATGTTCATTAAAATTAATAAAATTCAATTTAAAAAAAAAACAGCAGAAATTTAAACTATGGGTTTAGTTTATAACAACAGATGTTATAGGTAGAGTAATGCTGTCACAATAAGAGGTTTCTATTGTTGTTCTCTGTTAAGTACTGCAGAGTTGGAAGTGATCCTCTAGTAGCTTCTAAGAGGCCGTAAATCACCTGGGGAGAGACAGCTTATTTTTCTTCTGCATAGGTGGTGGATTCACTCACATGCTTTTGAATTGGCAGCACAACTAGGCCACCAACCTAATTATATAGAAGTACTGAATGTATTGAAGCTGGTATACAAAAAAAAAGTTAGTAAGTTAAAGATGTATATGGTAAAGCATGTGCACACACATCCCCTGTCTAAATAGTGAAAAATATCATTACAGAAATTTAAATGTTATATTTAAAAAATCACTTAATGCAAAAGAAAGCAGTAAAGGAAAGAGGAATGAAAAACAGACCCAAAGCAAACAAAGTAAAAGGCCAATGTAAATTCCAATTTATCAATAAAACATTAAGTGAGTAGATCAAGCAATCCAATCAAAATGAAGATTACCAAACCCAACCCATCAGCACTGTGTCCATTCTGACTCCTCACACAGTTCTATCTAACCTGTTTCTGAGGTTATACATTTTGAAGCATTCTGCCACATCCTTCTCCTATAGAATGGCTAGTGGATCTGAACTCTCAGCTTTCTGGTAAGCAGGTTAATGCTTTAACCATTAAGCCACCAGGGACCCTTAAATTATTAAACCAGACCAAAAAATAACATGCAATTATATGTTCTCTACAAGAGACACACGTTAGGTTAGATTCTAGAATGTAAAAAGACTGGAGATAAAGGATGAAAAATACACATCATGAGTGCAGCAGCCACAGAAATTTTTATGTGGCTCTATCAATATCAGACAAGATAAAATTTCACAAATATTACTAGAGAGAAAGTAATTTTATAAGGATAAATGGGTCAATCTATCCGGCAAATATAACAATTATAAACACACTACTGTTGTGTGCTGTCAAGTTGAAATCAACTAAATCTTCCAGCAAGATTTCAAAGGCCGTAAGTCCCAGGGAGAAGACTGCCTATTCTTCTCCTGGCTGGTGGACTTGAACTGCGTGCCTTTGGGAGTACAATGAAGCTTCCTATCACTGAGCCTGACATCACTAAAAGCATCTAAAATACATTATTATATATGATATACATAGATATTATATAAAATAAATGTATCTAAAATTCATTGTTGTTGTTATGTGCCATCAAGTTGCCTGCAACTCATAGCGACCCTATGTACAAAAAGCCCTAAACCCTGCTCTATGTTGTGCCAATCTCACTGTCTATGTGTGTTCTATTGTACATAGGGTTTTCAGACGCCTGCATAAGAATCGAAAACATGTATTATATATAACATATACATCTAAAATACATAAGCATAGCATATATATTATATATACACCTACAATATATAAAGCAAAAACTGATCGTAATGGGTAAAAAAAACAGGCTAAAGATAAAAAACAGAAGCTTGACCAACAAAGGCAACTAGACCCAATAAATATCTCTCGAGCATTGCAAACAACAGAATGACACTTTCTCAAGTATGTTGTTGTTGTTATGTGCCATCGAGTCGTCTGCGACCCATAGTGACCCTCTGTACAACAGCCCGAAACCCCGCTCTATCCTGTGCCAATCGCATTGCCTCTGACACACCCATCCCAATTACCCCAGTCACTGAATCAATCCACCTCATAGAGGGTCTTCCCCTCCTGCGCTGTCCCTCCACCCTCCCAAGCATGATGTCCCTCTCCAAAGACCCGTCCCTCCTTGCAACATGTCCAAAGTATGTCAGACGAAGCCTCAGAATCCTTGCCTCCAAGGAGTAGCCTGGTTTAACCCTCTCTAGGATGAATCTGCTTGTTTTCTTGGCAGTCCATGGTACGTTCAGTCTCTCTTCTCCAGCACCACAGCTCAAAGGCGTCAATTCTCCTTCTATCCTCCCTAGTCATTGTCCAGCTCTCTGATGCATGACAAGTGATTGCAAAGACCATGGCCTGTATCAGGCGCACCTTCGTCTCCAAAGAGACACCGTTGCTCTTGAGTACTTTAGAGATACATGGGATATTCTCCAGGATAACCCTCTTGCAAATAACTAATCGGTCAAGGAGAAAACGAAGAAAAATCCTGAGAGATGAATAATAATGAAAAGGTGCAACATACCAAAATTCAGAAGGGAATGAAGCTAAAACTGTTGTTGAAAGGGAAATGACACTTCATATTTGTATCATGTAAGAAGAAACAACTCAAATCAATAGCCTATCTTTCACCTTAAGTTACTAGAAAGGGCAAACTAAATCTGTAATCAAGCAGAAGAAAGGAAATAATAAAGGTGGTTGTTGTGGTGTATCGCCAGAACCAATGCAGAGTTGATCTTCTATTGTATTTTCAGAGGCTGTTAATCACATGGGAGGAAACTCCCCATTCTTCTCCTGTGGACCAACTTGCAGCACAGTTCCTTACCACTAGGTCACCAGAGCTCACTGATTTGTTAACATATTGTAATATTTAGGCTTAGATAAAAGGAATTTTAAAAGACTAGAGTAGAAATGAATGAAATAGAGATCAGAAAAAGTGAAAATTAATACAACTGACTGTTCTTTTAAAAGAGAAAAAAAAATTGGCAAACTAGCTAACACTGACCAAAAGAGGTAGTGATTAAAATGACTACAATCAGAAAAAGAAATTATTACTATCTTACAGACATGTTGTAAGGTGCTGTTGAGTCAACTACGACTCATAATAATACTATGAACAACAGATCTGAACTATGCACTATCCTGCACCATTCTATGATCTCCATCATGACCAAGTCCTTCCAGACACAGAAAGTAGTAGAATAAAAATTGTATACAAACATATGAGCTAACTTAAGTTGAATGAACTTATTTTTAGAAAGAGATAAAATTGCCAAATTTAGTCAAGAAGAAATAACTAATCTTAAAAAAGACTTTAGAACAAAAGACTGAAATTTTTAAAAAAATTTTATTTATTTACTGTTCTAATTATTTTTGTGTATGTACCATTAAAGAGGATTTGACTGGTACAGAAGGAGGTTGTCCCTCCTCCTCCAGCCGAGCATCTGGTGGATTTGAAGCACGCACCTCTGAGATTGCAGTGCAGTTTCTTGCCACTAGGTCACCAGAGCTCACCAAGACTAAGAAATTTTTTAAAAATCACACCAGGCTGGCAAAGAGATGGATAAATTATCATTATATGCAGAGTATATGATAGTGTACACCAAAAACCCAAAGGACTCAACAAAAAACCTGTTAGAACTAGTAGGCCAATTTAGTGGAGTGGATGGATATAAGATAAATATCCAAAAACCAGTGGGATTCCTCTACAATAACAAAGAGAACTCAGAGAAGAAACCAAGAAAGTAGTGCTGTTTCCAATAACCAACCACAAATTCAGATACTTGGGAATGAACCTAACTAGAGACACAAAAGACCTGTACAAAGAAAATTATGGAACATTTATGCCAGGCACAATAAATACCTAAATAAATGGAAAAATGGTCCCTATTCACGGGTAGACTCAATACTGTGAAAATGACAATCCTGTCAAAATCAATCTACATGTTCAACGCAATCCCAATACAGATACCAAATTAATTTTTCAAGATCAAAAGGGAAACTAGATTCAACAGGTATCTGACCAATACCACTGAATTCTACCAAACATACAGAACAGCAATTCTTCACAAACTCTTCTTAAAAAACATTGTTGGTAAGACTGTAAAATTGTACAACCACTCAGTAAAGCAGTTTGTTGTTTCCTCAAAAAGCTGAACACAGAAATTCCATATGACCCAGCTATTCCAAAGCTTGGAATACACCTTGAGAAAATGAAAACTGAGGCATAAACGGAGACCTGTCCACCAATGTTCATAGCAACGTTAAGCACCATTGTAAGGACATAGGAACAGCCCAAATATCCAACCACAGTCAAATGGATTGAGAAAGTGTGGTACATTCACATGATGGAATACTATGCAGTACGCAGGAGCAGTGATTTTGTAAATCACTACCTACCTTGAGAGGGTCTGGAGAACATTATGCTAAGTGAACTAACTCAGTCCCATAAGGACAAATACTGTTTAAGATCATTATTATATAACTAATAAAATATATTAATATATAACTAGTATAATATAAATATCTTAATACATTAATATATAACTAGTGAAAAAACCCTTGAACCAAAACAAACAAGAATAGGAGGGAACACTTCCCATTTTATAAGGTTTGTGGTACCTTAGCAGGAAACCAAATCTGTTGCAAATCCAAAACTGTGATCCTGTAAGATGGAGTAGAACTGACCCCTGATAGGAACAGAACCTTCCTCCTGTGAAGTTGGCCTGTGGGTTCAAATCACTAACCTCTGGTTAGCAGAGGAGTGCTTAACAATTGGAATACCAGAGCTGCTTCTACAAAGTGACCTGTTTTTAAGAATATGGATGCAAAAAACCTCAACAACATAAAAAAGCTAACTGAACACTATGACCAATGAGAATTCTATAACCCAGAAATGCAAGGTTGTTAACATCTGAAAATTAATGAATATACACTATAGCTACAGAATGAAAATGAACATGATTTACGTTAATGAAACTTTTCCAGTTAAAAATATGAACTGCTAATAATTAGTGCCTCTGTTGTTTACATCTCTAAGTATCAACAGCTTAAAACAGAAATTACTTCTTATTAAAAAATAATGTTTAGACAGATTCATATATTTTAGAAAAATAATAATCAAAACAAAAGCCTACCCAACGTGAAGGATCACTGATCAAATTAATAAATAGCGCTGACAATTTGGTCCTTCGGATTTCTTGACACGTTGCACAGGACACAGCCATGAAGCACTCAGCACAAGCCTTTCGCACTCCCCAAACATTGTCAGAGCAAAGCTGGAAAAACCTGGGCAACTATGTGAGAAGGACAACATTTTTATTTGGAAAACAAATGGAATTTGTTTTAGTAATTATTTTTTTATCATTTTTAAAATAATGTATTTTCTTAAAAATAATAACCCTGCTTCTATCTTATATAAATTGTACTGAGCTGCCAATACTATTGACAAAGGAAAAGAAAAAAACAGCATCAATAAATCTAACCACACAAATAACACCAAGTATCACTATATAAATAAAATGTTAGCCAAGAGCTGAGATTTCAACTTTTGCCCCATAGATGGTTTAAAATACTCTTGAAATACACTACTTGTACATCAAGTATCTTCTGCAGAAACACTTAAAAACAGCCTGCTCTAAATTTGGTAAGTTAACCAAAATAATATGAAGATTGCAATAAAATTTACAAATTATACCACATAAGATTCAAGTTGTTTCACAGAAATGGGAAGACTTAAAAAAAAATTTTGGGGTAAATATATGCATTTTATACTTTACATTCTACTTTGTAATGCACTGCTTGCTTCACTGTATGGATAATACTCACCAGTTTTTCCTCAGTAGCTTGCTGGCCAACTACACTGCAGATATCTCCAAAATTAGCAGCACATACCTACCAACAAAAGAACCATGGATATTTCAAGATATTACATACAGGGTTCTTTAAAAGTAATCTTTTAAATGTCATGTATCAATTAATTAATTATGTAAGCATTTGGATTCTGGAAAGTGGGTTTCTTGTTTGGGTTGAGGGTCAGGTGTGAACTCTGGGTTGTTTTTCCTTTCCTCCACAATTGTACGTCAACTGATTGGATTTGCTGGGTTTAGCTAACAATGAGCTGTGGGTTGGAAGCCTCTGGTTTAGAGTTAACTAGGACCTAGTGGGTGGTCCTTGTATTTAAAAATCAGCTGGGCCAGAGGTGTTGGATGAAAATGCTTTCAAGTGGTACAGCATAGTTCTGTCAATTTGCTGTACTGAGGTAACTTGGGGTTGCTGTGATGCTGAATGCTGTGCCACTGGTGTGTCAAAAGCCATAATGGTTACCCATGGCGGACAATGTTTGGTGAAGCTCCCAGATTGAGAGAGGTTTGGAAGCAGGAGTGGTATCCACTTCCTAAACCACAAGCCTCTGGAAAGTCTATGAATGGAGAGAAACAATGAGTCATAAAACAGGCTTTAGGTCTTTTGTTCATAGGGTTGCTATGAGTCATGCTTGACT